ATATATATATATATATTGGCTTATACAAACTTTGATACAGCGAAACAGTCAATCTGTCAATCTGTTGATGTCTATATGCTCTTGAGAAATTTGATTGAGCTCTCTGGAGAAAAAAGTAATTTTAAAAACAGTAGCTCCTACTGCTATCAATGCATTGCTCTTCTGTGATAATCAGATGGTGTATTATGTCGTGATAATCGGAGGGTGTACTATATTAGTGAAAATCAGAGAGAGCATTTTGCTATGATAAACAGACGGGGTAATTTATTATGATAATCAGTGGATATAATTTCTTGTGATAATCAAAGGGCGTACTTTATTATGATAATCTGAGAGCGTACTTTACTGTAATAATCTTAAAGTGTATTTTATTATGACAATCAGAGGGTGTACTTTATTATGATAATTTGGGGTTGTATTTTATCGTGATAATCAGAGTGGTCATGTCCTTTTCGTCTTTAATCAATGTTTCACTTCTAAATTTTCATCCCAGTTCCCGTTTTTCCATTTATTTACATAAATTCGATAGGCAGATTATTTGCTGTTTCTTTCGGTTCCTCTTCTTGCCTTCAATATGTCCTTTCGCTGTTAAATTCTCCAAGCCTTCCTTCCTCATTCTCGCAGAAATTTTCATCTGCTTTTTTTCTAATTGCAAGCATAAGTGTCATTTTCTGTCCCATTTTCCTTAAAAGTTTCTCGTTGACCGCATGTGCTGCCATAATATTCTCAGCATCCTCCTGTAGAATCATATTTCTGCCGCTTCAATTCTCTTCTTCATCTATGTCCAGGATTCATTGGAATATAGTATGGTTGATATTTCTTAACAGTTCACGACTCATTTCTTTGTTTCTGACAAAATCTTTATATTTCTTAATCCTTTTGAATTCGCTATTCCAATGCGATATCTGAGAAAATCTCGGCTTAGTTTTAAAATGAACAGAAATAAAAGCCAATAAACATTTCTAGCGTTATGGACATGTTTCAAAGTATTTCATTTGCTTATAGCTTTCTTCTGGACTTGCTTCATGTTTTTATTTTATTTTGAGGCTCTTTTAATAATTTGTTTAATTCTGATTGACTATTTTTATTCCTTCGTGTATATCAAAACCTAATGATCTTTTTTTCCATCCGTTCTAGTATTGTTTTTGAGTTGTCTCCCTTTGTTACTTGCAGTTACCATAAGTTTTCCTGTTATTTCTGCTGCTTTCTTAATTACAATCGTCACTTTACTGTTCATATCTTCTCTCTCAGTTTCGTTATTTCACGAAACCTGGAATGTTTTTGATTTCGACACGAAATCCGGTGACTTTTTTTTTTTAATCTCTAACCATTTGTTTCTGTGAAATTGAAAATCAAATTGGACTATGGAAGCTAGCAACGCTATCTATAGAAATGATGGTTACATATTTGACAGTCCCAGCTTTGTTGGTAATTATGAAGTCACTATCGTTCATTTCTTCCTCCATTTATGTTTTTTTTCCAAATCAATTTACTGCCTCTTTGATCTTTAATAGTTGTATTCATACTTTTCATTTTCTGTCCTCCTTAGAAGTAGCCTCAGTTCGTAAGCTGAAAATAAGTTACGTTCTGCCAGTCGCTTGAAAGCAAGTCGACAGCTTCTTTTTTGAACAGTAATTACTTTTATACTGCCATAAAGATTTCTTTTTGTTTCAAAGCAACCTATTATATTCGACTTAACGTTTTAAAAAAAAAAGAAATTGAAAAAAACGTCGACCGTCCCAAAAATCAAAACAAAAAACAATAACCCAAACAAACAAACACATAGCTGGGTATTATTTTTATAACTACGGGATTTATGGTCGGAATTTTAACTTTCTTTCTGCGTTCATTAAACAGACTGTCTACTTTTTTTTCTTCCCAGTGAGTATTGGTAGATTTGCGGATAGTAACCTAAAATGCATGCAACTGTTATAAATATAGCTTAGGGCAGTGCACCTTGTAAATCAGAAAATATGGCGCTGTCGAACCTGACAGAATACCAAATCAATGTAGATCGATTGAAAGCAAGGAAAATCTTGTAAACTGCGTTCTATTTTGTGTCCCTAGAATCAGTCATGCAAGCTCCCTGACCCACAGCAGGGTTATTTTACTTCTAAACGAATGCTTTTCACAAACGTCTACGAAGATTAAAAAGACAAAACAAAAAAAAAGCATTCATACTGTGTCCTGAAAGTCAATTAATAGGACTAGTCTATACACCATACTGGAACCGCTAATCATTAAATAACAAGCCTTAAGCTAAAGACTTCGACATTCAATTCTTTGACATAGCCCACTGATAAAAAGCGGTTCCCGGAATTTTCATCAATCAGTAAAACTGTGAGCATACGACCGCGTTCATCAGCTTTTCACCGACTGTCAGTGTGAACAAAACTCGTAAAGGAAGGATATCACGTGGCACAAGAAGTATAGAATACAGCCATATCACCTTGCTTAGAAAGATAATAACTTTATTGATTCTTATAAACAGGGTTATTTATTCAGGAACCAGTTTTGCAGACACTGTCTGAGAGTAGGTAAGTGACATTTGCTGCTACTTCGCTGCTACTTCTGTTTTCTCGCGACCGACTAACGGACCAGATCTTCTCTTCGGTCAGTAGAAATCCTGGTTTCCGTCTGACACTATATGTGTCACCTTACTCTAATTGCGTCAATGACCATGACTTCCAATTATCTATAATGTAGCCTGACTAAATAAGCCAATGACTGGATTTCATTGCTTTCTTTTAGAAAGTTTTACACATTTTGTACACTATTTTTTTCCTCTACCTATGGTTGGTGATGGTTATTTTGAAACTGACATCTCGATTCTACTGACGATGCAGTTGGTTGTCATCAAGACCAGTAGAAATCAGTTAAAATTCTCTTGACTGCCTAGATGCCCTAAGCAATCGAGCAGGGGCCTACTGTGTCACAAAAGAAGTGCATCAGTCAGAGTAAAGATTTTGCTAAAAAAATTAAAATATATATATATATATATATATATATATATATATATATATATATATATATATATATCAGTCCATCAAGAAACTATGAAATCAAAATTCTGACCATGTATAGTCGGAGTATAAAACACATTAACCTCTATACAAAAAATCCATTATTATGGCAGCAAAGACAGAAGTAAATACCTTTTTAAAATTCTTAACCATTCTGTAGAAAATGTAGAGGGTATTAGCTACGGCGAACAGTCAGGTACATGCAGGTGATGAAATCTATTCAAAGGATTCCTCATTTAGCCAATTTTAAAACAAGATTAGTTCTGAACATCGCAAGTCAAAAATACAGTCACACATACAAGATTTTCTGTTATCTATATTATAAAAATGGGGGTGGGCATGGTGGAGGAATCGAGTTCGAATTCCTGTCAAGTTCATTACATTCACTTACGTACTAATACCTTTGGGAAAGTTAGGAATATATCCCTCCTCTCCTCATGGGTAAAATAGTAGAACAGGCTGGGTTCTATAGCCTTGGATGGAAACCAGTCTAGAAGAAACTCTGAATACAAACGACCTGCTATCTTGTAGGTCCTTCACCTTTTGGCAAAGGTTAGAAGAAGGTAACTTAAAAAAAAAACTCTAAGAGGAAGGGTGGCATAACATAAACATCCCCATTGCAAAAAGAACCGGCATACCGTTGCACTATTCTCTCTTGAATGTCAACATGAACCACAATGGTGAGATGGAGGGAAGTGGTGACCACAACGACGGCCCAAACATTTCGCTAACTGAATTGTTATTTCTCTTTCCAGTATTGATACCTAAGCATTTGTTCGAAGTAGTGTTGAAAAGCAACCTCTTGATTATGCCATTATTTTCTCTTTGACCGGCTTTAGTTTTGCGGCTTTTGAAAGTTCGAAGAAGGATGGTCCTCTCTAAGACGTACAGGATTCATTCACAACTGTTAATCATTGATCTGAGACAGCGGTTTTATATAGTTGACGTCTTTTCGAATAGATTTAGCGCCATTGATGACATCCATATCAAAGTCTCTTTCTGGCTATTCAAGAGCCTGTCTCTAGGTTTAAGATTAATGTTTTGGTTTAGTAGCAATTTGAAGTGTTGTGTGAAACTACTTATAGCATAGCCTTTCTTTAATTCTCTTATCTCTTATACTAATTTCGTTTCTAACTGATACATAAACTGAAGACATTTGAAGCTTTTATTATTTGGTCCTATAGACATGAGTTGCAATCAGTCTTGAAAAACCACCTGCTGCCTTGCAAGTCTTCCCTCGTTTACTTTTGAGGATCGGAGGGTAACCTCAAAATCCCGGGGGCAAAATGAAAGCCATTGTGCTATTCTATCTTGAATGTCACAATGAACCACAATTGTGAGATGGTGGGGAGTGGTGACCACAGCGGCGGCGCAAAATGTTATAAGGGCATAGTTGGGTCTCTGTACATCGCACAATGATGGCGTGATTTTTTATATGCATATGTAATGTATATACATATGACTGTGTTGTGCGTCAGTGACTTGCCTGTTCTTATGTCATTTAAATGTATACACAAGCACATGCACACACATATACGCATAACATTTGACTAAGTTAGAAATATGATATTGAAATAATGCATCCCTTTCTAATTCAATCTGAACAATCCTTACTCTGCGTGGAGCCATAAAGCCGTAGATTTTCAGACGAAAAAGAAAAGGAAAATAAAAAAGTTGAATTTTTGAAACTCTAAAAATTCAGAGAATTATACTATGTTATTGGACTTTCGAAAATGATAGAATTATTTGTAAAGATTCTTTTGCAATTTTGTAGAAACAGTTTTCGAGCTGTCACTAAATTTGCATATACATGCGGACACACAAAAGTATATATACATAATTTAAATGAAACTGAAACGACGCGAAGGTGATTCTCTTTTCTGTCTTCCAACAACCTCTGGGCAACAGGAAAATAATATAAACTGAAGTGTGCCCCCCACCTTTGAATTTATTTGTATGAATGTTTATGTATTTAAACTGAGTATATCGCCTAATAAATTAAGTATTTTAAATGAATAAACATTTAAATTTTTATCATCTTGCCGTCAACGAAGTGACGGGTGTCGAACTAGTCGTGACATAATAAGAAAATAGTAATCTTAACCTATTCAAGTATAGAGACTCAATAGTTATCTATGCGCCATATACTTTTAATATTTATCTCCTAGTTCCTTCATTTATAGCCATACCACACTCATTCATTAACTCTCTACCTTGAATGACTTTTGTGCCTTGTATTCTAATTCGATTCTGGAGTCAGATGGGACTGCCAGCGTAAACTGTTGTAAAAGGTCACCTTTGATTGTACTCATTAGCTTACAGGTAAGGACTGAAAAGATTTAGACTGAGAGTTTACAAACTACGATCTTCAAACAAGTTCATCAAGTCCATTTATTGAAAGGAGTTATCGCAGGCGACAAGATTTCATTTACTAGTTAAACTTGGCTGTTCCTACACAGCCGATGCAAATTTGCTTGTAATTATGGCCGTTTTACAAACAATAAATTAACGCGGCCAGTGGAATTCTATCTGCATTGCAGATTTAATTAAGGAGAACTAATTGAAACGAATTGACGCAGAAGGTGATTACTAATTGCATGGACCATCTTGCTCTGGTGAAGTCATATTTTGTTAATATTAAGGCTATCTATCCATTTCACTGTCTTTCTCGCTCGATCTACCTACCTATACGTTTTTGGTATCTATCTATGTCTGTTCATAACGATCTATCTATCTATCTATCTATCTATCTATCTATCTATCTATCTATCTATCTATCTAAGTCTTTTGATATCTATCTATATATGTTAATATCTATCTATCAATCTATATATAAGTCTTTTGGTATCTATCTATGTTTATATCTATCTATCTATCTGTCATATCTATCTATATGGTCTGTTTCTTTCTGGCTGTCTGCCTCCATGTTCTTATCTACTTATCTCTGTTATATATATATATATATATATATATATATATATATATATATATATATATATATATATATATCTATCTATCTATCTCTCATTCTGTTCATTATCTATTTGTCTATTTATCTACATATGTTCATATCTATCTATATTTCTTTTTATCTATCTATCGATGTTGTAGCATAACTACGGACGATAATGAGTATGTCCCCATTCACATAAATAGAGTTATAAATACAGTCTGCAGTTGGAGATTCGTCCCCAGCTGTGCTGGCCAAACTCTCTGCTCCCGAGCAAAGATAATCCCCAGACGAGGCTATGTCGAAAGGGCAGAGTTACGTCTCGGGAAACAGCTACCCGACCCCGTTTTATACGGAGCCTACGGGGAAATTTTGGCCCAGTCTACGGGCTCGGATACCCTACATTAAATTCGGCCTTGTGCCACCTCTGACCACGTAGGGCGGTTGGTAGATATCCTGCAGCTGGAGATTTATTGTGGAATTCACTTGACTCACTTCTAGCAGTTGACTACTTCTACGCGCCGCTAGCGAATCTTATATGTGTTGTTCTTGTCCTAAGTATTATCGTTCATTACCAACTTTCGTGTGATTATTCTAATCAGTAACCTTCCCTAGGTTACATCATTTTGGCAACGAGGATTAGCCAAAATTACAACAGCTTGTTTGTAATGTTTTTCTTCTCTTAATATCTGTCAGTTAAGTGTCACACGTGATACACGCTTGGCCGATTATGTATCTTTTCGATACATGACTGACGAGGCAGATTATTCTCATTTCTTTCTGCTAAAGAAGGCTAAAGAACCCAGTCTCTCCTGCTATTTAATCCACAGCTGGGGGCAGAAGAGGTGGATGGAAACCCTTCCCAAGGGTATTTGCGCTTAAGTGAATCTAACGAACGGGAATTCGAACTCAACTCTCCGAGTTCTCACTCCGAGCCGATATCTACTACACCACAACGAACATCCACTTCTCATATCTACTTATTTCTGATCCTCTCTTTCTCACTCTCTAACTCTCTCTCTCTTCACCCTCTCTCTTTCTCAGTCTCTCTCTCCCTCTCCTTCTCTCTCTCGATATATAAATATGCCCATATCTCTCTCTCTGTGTATCTATCTGTCTCTGTGTAAATGGAATAATCGAAAGTAAATTTTGAGTGAAACACATTTTAGAGTTTGATGATTTTTTTTCTCTATATTAAGTTTTAATTCGTAAATTGTAATATAGATCTAATAAAATTACATGTAAATAAAGTTGAGTTATAATCTATAAATTCAAGGATTTACAAACGGAGAATACATGCACATGTAGATCTGTTTAATTAGATGAGGTATGAGCATATAACAGTTCCAATATATATATATATATATATATTCCGATTTTTGGCGTAAGAAAAATATCGTACACATATGTTATATATAAATGCATTAAACAAAATATTTACTGTTTTGTAAGAAAGAAAGAACATCGTATTTATATTTACGGCTGTATTTCAATATTGTATAGTAATAAAACTAATTTAAGCTTTGATTCAGTATAATTTCCATAATTGTTGTGCTTAAAAAACGAGAAATTTTTAAAGTTTTTAACCCCGATTATTACTATTGACCAAAATTACTTCGTAGTAGTTCATGTTTTTAGTACCTTGAAAAGTAAATGTTATGAAGTGAAAATAATGAGTTCAGATTTCTATCATACGAATCCAGTAGACTTCGGACGTTTTAGGAGATTATATTATTTACACGAGAAACGAGAATATATCTATCAATATATTTCTGTGTTTATATTTGCGTGGATGTATATCTGTTTCTTACCCCACATGTCTTTATCTGATTTTTGTTGGTTTATATTGTATCGATTTTTCCACTCTTTTTCCATCTCTCAATTTATTTTTCCACTTTTTCCATCTCTGTCTGCTCCTCTCTATCCCCCGTCTCCATCTACATATATATGGCTATCAATTTTTTATGTTATGTTGGCCGCCATTGTCATTTCGAAGACATTGTCACAAGTTGACTTTAGTAAAAATATCAGGTCTTCCTAGATTGAATTTTTGGGTTTAATTCGGTATCGGGGATACTTTATTCATCAATATTATTTTTAGATCATAAAGGAACTGTTTTATAAATTTCACAGCAAAATAATATTATATATAAAGTTGAAAATGTTTACGTATGTCTGCACGAAACTATTTTGGTAGTCCCACTTTTCTTTGGGGCTAACACGAATAAGAATGAAAGCTTTATTAAGATTGAATAAAGTTATTTATTTATATTTAACACATAAGTACCAGGATTAATATAAACACAATGTCGTTTCCTATATACAGAGAATATGCCAAGCAGACTTACCCATCTGATAGAGTGGATTTAGGCCAGATAATTTGTATCTGTAAACCCTGGTAGCTAGTACCCTTGTCAGTGGAGAGAATTTCTTGCGTGTCGCTTCAGAGCAGGTCCGAATATCTCCTTTTTTTTCTTGCTCGTGGTCAATATTTCGCAAACACCCACGTGGTTTTATTAACCAATGATATACCTCCTTATAGTATGTGACCTATCTCTATATATGGTAGCAAATATATTTCACAGATCAAAAAAAATTCTGAAAATAAATTAAATCTATTATACAGTTTTTAGTTTGATTGAGAAAATATCTTGACCTCAAATAAATGCGGTTTAATCTTTTGTATCAAGTAGTATGTGTTTTATAACTTGGCCAACTTAGAGGTTGTTATTTAATGGGGACAGCTAACTTATATATTCAACTTTAAAAATAATTCTTAAAAAACTGTTGTCTTATTGCGATCTTAACAATTTTTTTCGGTGAAAGTGGAAACGACCGTCGCATTTAGATCTTAAGGCTTGGGAGTAAAGGTAAGCAAACAATGTTGATATTTTTAATACCATATTTTGAAAATGTAGTAAATCTTATATATTATTATTTGATGGACAAGTATCGACATCCTCGTTATAAAACAGTGAAACGTTGTTTAGTAATATCAGTTTAAAGCAGTGTTTCTCAACCATTTTGAATTCAGGGCGGACTTGTAGAATAACTAAATCTCTGGAGCGAACTTTAAAGTTTAACAAGACAAATTAAGTCATAAAATCTGAAAATATTAAAGAAGTCTCCTGGAATAAGTATTTATTTTTAAAACATTACATTGTGTATTTAAGCGATAGAGTTTTCACTTAAATGGATTTATGAAGATCTGCTCTTTTTCTTTTTAGAGAGACCGATGAAGACTGGTTTAAATCTGTCGAGAAAGGCAAAAGGGGAAGGATTATTCATTCTGTAAAGAAATTTAGCACCCAGTTTAAAATGTCGAATGACAAAGACTTGAATTAGATTTTATAAGAATTAGATTTGGGGAACATAAGAGTTACCAGCTTTGGATTTCTTACTCCATATTAATCCATGAAATATTATTGTTTTACAGCAATTTAGAATGACTTTAATCCGTTTGGTCTTTAAAAATACGAAGTCCTTGGTAAACATCACAACCTACAATAAACTCTTTTCTGCTATTGATGAATAAAAATCCTTGATGTCATATTTGATAAATACATGATTACTCTTGTTCGGAATGTTATTAAACCAGGAAATGCAGTCGAAAGTGCCCTTCCACTGATTGACTTGCGTAGTCACCCAGAATAGCTTCAAGTATCTTTATTACAATAGTCCAAATAATGTAAATAATATACATAATACCTCATCTCAGAAATATAGACAGATAATGAAAGGCCGAAACGTTGTAATAAATATGGCGACAAAGATGAGGACAATAATCCGAATAATGTAAATAGTGTACATAATACCTCATAATATTGAGGACAATAGTTCGTATAATGTAAATAATGTACATAAAGATAGACAGATACTGAAGGGCTGAAACGTTGTAATAAATATGGCGACAAAGATCAGGACAATAGTCCGAATAATGTAAATAATGTACATAATACCTCATAATATTGAGGACAATAGTTCGTATAATGTAAATAATGTACATAATACCTCATCTCAGAAATATAGACAGATACTGAAGGGCTGAAACGTTGTAATAAATATGGCGACAAAGATCAGGACAATAGTCCGAATAATGTAAATAATGTACATAATACCTCATAATATTGAGGACAATAGTTCGTATAATGTAAATAATGTACATAATACCTCATCTCAGAAATATACACAGATGTTTTAATCTTATTAAGATATTAAATCGCATACAGATTTGTTTTTCCTTGAAATTGTGCACTTTTGTAGCGTGTAGGATTTTAAATATTTTAGTTTGTTTTTCGACGTATATTTGGCAGTTGTGCCCTATAATTGTAGTGTGCATCTATAACGCTACTTTTGTCACTTTGGAAACCCTCAGGCTCAAAAATCCCAAAATATGGATCTTAATGAAGTCAAGACCAACAACTCTTTAAAAATTATCCCGATTCGTGGCAAGCATGAATACATGGTTAACATGCTAAACAAAATAGTCATTTTTACGTAGAATGTGGTGGAAGATACTTTTGCTTTAAACAATATTGGCAAAGTGATAGTGACACTGATATACCTTTGATCAAAACTGATAAATACCCTCTGCTGTGAACGTACTGTCGGAATTTGACAAACACCTTATAGGCATTTTAAATAAAAAATAAAAAAAAGTTTTAGAACAATAAAATATATTTAAGAAATTATCAACGGATATTGAAGAGCTAAAAAAATTGAAGACAATTTTTGTTCTGGGCGTTAAAACGGAAAGATCATATGCCATGAGCCCTAGAGCGTGCAGAAAGAGAGTTTCAATGGAAGTAAGTAAATTCTACAAAAAAGCTCCTGCTTCTTACGTGGATGATATTAACACAGAAGCTAACGAAATCCTTACAACGTTTGGCATTACCAATAAAGTCAGGATATTGGCCAAAAAGCAAGCCTTCTTGAGAAAAGACCATAAGGAAGACTTCCTCAACAGTCTATCATTCTGTTTAATAAACCCGACAAAAAGGAAGTTATGTGTCCTATGCAGACAAAAATCTTCTGATGAAGAAATATTAAATGAAAAAAGAAAAAAATATGAATCTGGTTTAAGAAAGGAGTGGCATAACATCAAACTGGGATTAAAGGACATAGCAGACCTAAAAACAGATGACAATAGAAAAATAAAAATAAATGACATCTGGTTCAATTCAAGTAAGAATAAATATAGGGAAAATGTTTTTAGACTTCTAAATAAGCACTCCCCAAAAACGTCCGGACTGTACAAATTGTTTAATAGAGTCAAGTTGTACTAAAGTTGCAAAAGCAACACAGGCAATATTATTAAAAGATTGAACAAAAGAAATTTAAATCTTGAAGAGGATGTGAGAGGTGGACGTAAAGTCCTTCATAATTGAAGAAGAAATAACTGTCCCTTAAATGAGCTATGTTGCACAGAAGGTGTAGTGTATTGTGCCGAGGTAGAAAATGACAATAGCAGTGCAAAAAATACCATGGCTGCACTGAAAGCTAAATTAAAAACAGGCGGTATAATCATACGTCGTCATTTAGAATACCCGGACGTAAGTTGAATACGAAGCTGCCAAAGAAAAAACTGAAAGAAGCCAGATCATAAAGGGGAGCATGTTACGAAAGATAAAATCTGGTAAAGTAAAGGGCAGCTTTTGTAAGCTGTGCCAGGAGAAGTCGGCTATTGCAACATACAAGACTGGATGGACTTGGATGGGAGGTACGAAATTATGAACAAATCTAGGTACATGAGGAGACTGGCTTCGGGATTGTACGAACTCGAATGATGTTTCAGAAATAAACGTTTTATTTCACTCCTCACATTAATTTTCCCCCTCCTCCCCCATATTACTCTCGGTGCCACATCATGTATTGTCTCTAATTACTTAGCTGAGTTAACCAGCTGATGAGGCCAGTTAAAACCGCTGCAGTGTATTCTTCAGCGTTTGAATCTATCTATATATATATATATATATATATATATATATATATATATATATATATATATATATAAATATCCTAAATCCTGATATATATATATATATAAATCCTTATGATATATATATATATAAATCCTAAGATATATATATATATATATATATATATATATACCCAAGTGTAGGATTGGTGTATACGGAATAAATCCCAATAACCAACAAACACTATTCTTAAAAGAGTGCTCAATACAGAGTAAAGCGAATATAATTATTTGTTCGAAAATGATAACATAAATATGTCATAATATCACTACAAAAATAGTCATTTTGTTTCAACACTTCTGGTGTCTTATCAAGTGAAGTTGTTGAATGTATAATAAAGAGTTTTAAAAGGTTCAAATCAATCAAACATCCCTCACTAGGGGAAACGCTGTTCATAAGCTGGAATGACCAATCAAAATACAAGTATATGAGATTCAAAAAAAATTAACAACGGACTAAGGTTATAATAACTATTTAATTCTTTAATGTTGGGGTTAGACTAAAATAGAATTCACTCTAACTAATAGATATTAAATTATAATATAAAATTATAAATTAACGATTTTATATTTTAAATTTATCTATATTAAGTTTAAAATTATAAAATTATTTAAAGAAGAAACTGAGGAAAATACATATGTTTTACTAATTATTTTGTTTTTATTGAAATTAAGTTGGAATAAACGCTAAGATACATTTGAAGTGAAGACATGGGCAAGGATGTCTTGCAAAAGATAATGCATACACAGTCAGATTATAATGCACAAACACGCAGATATATTTAAATATATAAACACGCAAAAAAGCAACGAGACAAGAAATATGTTCACGACCCTTAAAAAAACATGACAACATATACACACAATGAAATGCACACACAAGCGACCATACACACACAAACAGACAAAGACACACCCATACACCCAGCAAGAAATATTCAAGTTTGAAAGTGTTATTAAACGAATTCTAACATCCTATTAAAATATGACTTATATTCGCAGAGATGTATAGGTAAAATGGCTGAATAGATAAAGTTCAACATGGGCAGAATAGAAAAACAGACATTCATCAATTAACAACATAAGGAAAAAAGGACACTACAGCATACACACATGGACAGAAAAATAGATATATCCGCATAAAAATAACACCATCTAATATATAAAATAGAAAACTTCCAAGTACACAAATATATATAAATATCTCATATACACCAATATAAGCACTTGTATAGATACACGAGTACAAATATATAACAATATGTGAAAGAAAATCAAAAATACATACAGACATATGTGTACACACATTCTTCACTACAGAGAGAAACACACAAATACATACCTACGCACAAACATATACACATAAATATACCTATATACATATATATATATATATATATATATATATATATATATACCTATATATACACATACATACACGCATATCCATATATACATACACAGAAACAAACATAACTATATCAACCACACAGCAGCATAAAAAAGTAAACAAAACAAATATATATATATATATACACACACAAACACACATACAGAAACACACAAACATAAATATATACACACAAACATACATATATATATATATATATATATATATATATATTAGCTTAGTGACGATAAAGGACTGTAAAGTCCATTAAAGATTAAAATGTAACGAGACACAACTGTTGATTATTACGTCTACAAGCAATTATAAAACCATTATCAAACAAAAGTAGATTTTAGTTAGCATTGATGATACATTCCAAGACACTAAGATATACATACATATATATATATATATATATATATATATATATATATATACATACACACATACAATTCCCATATATATATATATATATATATATATATATATATATATATATATATATATATGCATAAATGCCCATATATATATATATATATCCATATATATATATATAAACACGCACACACACACACACACACACACACATATATATATATATATATATATATATATATACATAAACACGCACATACAGACACGTACCTAAGTTAACATATCCACACATACACAAGCACACAAACAAGTACACATATAACAGCTATCAACACAAACACACACACATATATATATACACACACACATAACTATAAGTACAGATATATTCATATATACACACAAACACTCACACATTCAACTACACATATATATGTCCCCACATACATACACATAAACATATACATACATACAGAAGTACACGCAAATACAAATATATACATAGACACACTCACCCACATATACATATATATATATATATTTTAATTCATATATATATATATATTTATATGTGTGTGTGTGTGTGTGTGTGTGTGTGTGTGTGTGTGTGTGTGTGTGTGTGTGTGTGCACACACAACCATCAGTAAAAACAAACACACATGTGTAAGCAAAAACAGCACTCTCACATCGGCAGGAGGACTATCAGGTAATAAAAGTAATAACCCACTAAACTTACAGTGACATATCCTTATCTTCGAAAGTATTACTACCCCTATAGTAATTTAAATTTATAGGTGTGTTTACAGTTAACGGTGAGTTCATTTCTTTGATTTAAGAGATGGGTCTTGTTTTTAAATCTAATTATTTCAATTTTTTCTTTTTAATTCATAGAAACAAGGGTCATATATGGAATTACATGTTCGAGCTCTCTTGATTAATTTCCATTTAACAGTAGGTGTCTTATTCTTCTCCTTTAAACTCCAAAAATACTTGGATAAGGAAGTCTTGTACTATTGCATATGTCCCCGCCAACGTTCTAATTTATCTATCTCAGTCTGCTCGTATCTATCTATCTATTTCTGAGTGATGTCAGGTATCATTGTATGTGTTTCTTTCTTTCTATTTCTATCTGATTCTGTTCATATCTATCTATCTATCTATCTATCTATCTCAGTCTGCTTATATCTACCTATCTATCTATCTCAGTCTGCTCGTATCTATCTATCTATCTATCTATCTATTTATCTATCTATGTCAGTCTGTTCATTTCCCTCTATCTATGTAAGTGCGCGTTGTAATTAAATTTGGATAATAACATTTATTTTTCATATTACTTGATTGGATATTGATTCGCCATAGAATTCTATTAACAACGATTTTAGCAAACTATTTTAAACAAACTAATTACTTTAATCTTAATGATGATAAATATGCTCACTTGCAATTAGTGATTAAAATTAAATGATCAAATTCTATAATTATGAATGGTTGGCTATAATTTCTTCAAAAGAATCCTCGATAAAATTACGAAAGAAAAAGTTAACGCTAACATACAAAACTAAATCGGAGACAGTTTTTACCTCTTCTCAAATTTAGAGCATAGTCTATTAAAGGTGTACTTTTCTCTCTTGGATAAACCGATGGAGATAGGCTTATGAAAATTTTTAAAATTAATACACTCCCACGTATTTATTTGAAATGCCCACCTCGTTTATTAAAATTCTATGATGGCAATCAATGCAGATCACGAAGAATGGCTGTTTATTGATCTTGATCGATCATCATATTATATAAATCTTTATTATTTTTTTTCGAAAAAGTATTCATTCTTATTTACTAAAATGTTGAAAGCCGAAGCCACCACAGATTTATTTGAAATATATGATTTAAAAGGGTAGAGTTAAATTTTTGAAAATGGTGTCATTTTGATTGTAAAGTTTGTCAGATTTTCGAGGTGTTTTTATTTTCATTTTAAAAATCGTACACGTTTTTTTAACAAGACAACAGGCTTATTATTATACATTGATTCGTCCGGAGCAATTTCTTATTGTCCACTTTAAAACGTTATGACAAAGGCGACAGGGCCAAGGCAACTGAAAGAATCAATGTTTAATCATCACAAGAATTTATTCCAAAAATTCAGACAGAATGTCGATTGAAATAAGATTGAAGATGAGAAAACTTAGACAAATGTACAATAATATGAACGTCTGATATCAAAGAAAAAAAATATAGTCAGTACTTTGATCAGATCATTGTAACACGATCAAAAGGAGAAAGAAACTATACTGAAGGAATCAATATATAGAATCTGGTTGGAAGGAAAGATCTCGCGCTATGTAGAATATTAAATTTATTTAGTAATCTCAAGAATCCTTTCAATCAGGTAGTAACAAGTTCATGCCTTCAAAAATTCAGAAAATATAATTACAATTGTTTTAATGCAATTTACGAAAATATTTCACGGTCAATAAAATTCTGACAGATTCTCATTTAGGTAAGGACGTCATGTACATATATTTTCTAGGTCTGAAAATAATTTAATTGGTTTGTTAGCAACTTAAAAATATTTACAGAAAAATATTTAACTACTTAATATTAACGAAAAATAGCCTGCCTAGTGCAATGGCGTCTTATTCCACTTCCAAGTACTACCTTCGAGAACACACTGATTTATACCAGCGTACATTTTTCAAAATAGACTGTAAAACTCTCTTTCGGTATGACATTATTGTGATATTGGTAATATGAAATTAGGGTTAAAAGAGTTTATGTGAAAACTCCGTATAGGAATTGGAAGGGCTGACAACGTTAAAAAGAAAACGTTAAGGTGAAAACATGAGTTGAAATATTAAGCAAAGGAAAAAAAGAGATTTTTTTCTCATAAAGAGAAACGCTGAATGGACTGTTTAGTCCACGTTGAATTAGAATGTTGAAAGTACAAAATGAAGAAAGCAAACAAGAATTGTTATGAATACGAAAGCCATTATGTAAAACAGTTTAAAAATATCCTGCCGTTTGAAATAAGTTTATCGGGAAAGGTCATTGTTTTTGAATAGTTGACTGTGTTGGTATTTGAAGGTCATTGACGGCTGGGTTGCGATTTGGGAAAAGCTGAAAGAATTCACAAAGCTGTGATTTGTAAACATGAGTAGGAAATTATTTGAGTTATAATTTGAATTCGACAAACAAAAGAGAATTATTTGACGATTTGAAATGTATTTTTAAACACAAAAGTTTGTTGAAAAAATTGATGTCTTTGATAAAACGGCCGATTGTCAAGGAATGTGAGAACAATGCTTATTGTTTTGAAATAGCTGACCGCTTTGTTTGTAATGGTTTGGAATTATTAATTAAAGAGCCGAGTTTTAATTCTCTTTGTGTCGTTATATTCACTTACCCGCAAATACACTTGGGAAAGGCATGAATCCACGTCTTCTCTTTCTACATATTTTTTTTATTTTAACTAGTAACACTTTTATTACTAAACCATTATTATCTTAAAATTTTAAAGTATTTTCTGGCTTTAAATAACCTGTAAAAGCTTGATAAGCCATAGAAAACGAATCATTCTATTGCTGGTGTTGATAAGCCGTGGTGTTGTTGGGTTTTGTTGAGTTGAAAACTTACTACTTATTAAAATGTACATATGTAGATAGTCTGATAGCAGAGATATTCAAGAATGTGTCTACATATTCTACTCAAATAATTTAATTGCACAATATGAAATTACAGCAGTCACGATATACGGAATAAGAAATAAATGTTTATAATACTGGAGATAATATTAAAAAGAAAATATTCTCATCCTAGCTGCTCTAAATACAAAAGAACGAAAAGAGAATGATAGAGACGGCAATAATGGACTTGAATCACGCAGTGTACACGGAGAAAAATGACACTGTTGATACACAGTGAATGACTAAGTAATAGCAACAGCTGATTTTGAAGAAAAAAACCTGCGGACAAGTAAGAAATCAGGACGAGACATAAAGAACCGCATAGACTATTTAACAATCAGTAAAAGTTTTAGAAATAAAGATCTTCACTGTAAAACATAGACACGCAACGACTGTGGAATAAAATCTCATTCCTGATAAAATAAGAGAAAATTAAAGAAACAGAAAACATCGTCGAAACTTCAATACAACAAATATCAGAATGTTTTGAAAATGGGAGCGTCACTCGTCGTTGCCCCTTCGACTGTTGACGCTATATATATATATATATATATATATTTTTATAATTTTTAGAATTTATATATTATTCTCATTCTCATTACATTCGGATATATATATATATATATATATATATATATATATATATATATATATATATTTGAGTTTTGATGATAACGAGTAGGCGGCTTACTACCGGTGCTGTAAGTCTTTCGTTCTTCTCTGCATATCTTAAATACTTAAAACGGGACCGTTACTCGTCATTGTCCCTTCAATTGTTGACGATATATATATATATATATATATATATATATATATATATATATATATATATAGTCAACAATATATATAACATATATATATATATATATATATATATATATATATATATATATATATATATATGCACATACACACAAAATATATATATTGACGCGTATAATATATATATATATAATATTATTTTTGTGTAAGATCATTTAATCTGTTGTATGAACATTTCCTCTTCATGAAAATTCATTAAAACTACGGACTTTAAAAATTCTTATTTATTTTCCTGAAACAAGCGACTGACACACAGCGTGTAACTTCGTAGATAAATTCCATATTTTGATTTGTTAAAATTTCTCCATGTGTTTCCTCATCCTTACTATCCTTCGTTAATCTTGTTGGTGTGGGTAAATCAACTGTTCATTTTTAACCCCTAAGCCTCACGCCCCTGTAGATGTTGTGAATATTGATGAATTAATAACGTATTCGTTTTATGTTTTATAAGAAAAAAATGAATCACATTCTAACAGATATTTTTCACAGCATCTACTGAGACAACTTTATTTCGGAATTCAGTTTTTTTTTTAAGAAGGAAAGTGAAAGTAACACTGGGATGCATTGGATCTTTTGATATCAAAGTTAAACTAATTGTATTAATTAACTTCTCAGCCAGGACACGTTTGGCATATAATCTGGTGTTATCTTTAAAGTCACTGTCTCAAAAAAAATGAGCTAAGAAGGTTGACTCAGAAAAAAAATCGTTATCTTAATTTTAACCTATTGTCAACTATTTTTTATTATTGCCATACCAGGCCTAAGTGCCACTCAAATTTTAAATGTGTATAGGGAGAGTGCAAAGGTTGTATATTATGAGGATATGTAAGATCGATAAACGTTTGGTCCTTGACTCGTAAACGTTACGATTGTAGTGATCAGAGCTACATCCCATCGAGATTGCGTTCGCCATTGCAACACTTTTGGAGAAAAAGCTGTCTGTGGCGGAACTTACTCCTTACGAATGAAATATGAAGAAAATGACTATGAGTGGACTATGTGTATGTACAATGGCGGGTCCTAGCTGAAATGGCATGAACCGGTGGAACAAAGGAATGTAGTTCGCCCGAACATCTGCCATGAAAATCGCTGCAGATTAGCATGAGACTAGCAACGTTCTGTCTGTGGGCAAAAGCAGTTTTAGGGTGGAAAACAATTCACCAGACAAACGGCCGCACAAATGCATTCGAAGTCGGTCAATCTTGGAAAGTGAGGATTGAGTAGATACGGCCCAGATATGGCAGCTGTAGAGATAGTGCATAGCAGGTATAGGGGATGCAGGTACAGGGGCCAGGTACTTCGTGAAGCGGTACTGGCAGCCAACTAATTTTCCAGCATCTCTAGCGATTATATATACGGGTATATGCGAGAATATACGGGTTCCACTTGAGGTCTGGTGTGAATATGAGTCTCAATCGACTTTCAAGGCAAGTTTCTTTCACAGCCATTTCGAATATATCTACAACCGGTTACGTGGCCTTGATGCAACTTGACAACTTATCAGAGAAGGAACTCTACTGCGCATTTTACTACTCTAATTTACCCTGTACAAGACTTGAGAGCCACTCAAGAGAGAGTATTATTATAATGGTTATGATGACATGAGTAAAAGAGGAGGTGGTATAAAGTGAATCCTATGAGGATAAGGAGAATAGACAATGATTGAGGCTTTGGTATACGATAGTTATTAAGCTGATTCGTTTCCGTGGAAGAAGAATGCCATGGCATAGTTGTAAAAGACTGAACTATTGAAAATAACAAAATACTGTTCATTTGAACATTT